GGTTTCGGGTTTAGGATTCAGGGATTAAGGTTTACAGGATTTCGGGATTAGCGTTTCGGGGCTTGGGCGAAACCAGGGTTCAGGGATTAGGGTTTAGGGTGCTTCATGGGGCTGCGGTTGTCGGGTTCTGGGATTTTGGTCGGTTGGAGGACCCTAAGAGCAACCACATAAAACACATTTAAACCAAAGGAAAAGAGACCCAGAGTATGGCCACGAAATAACAGGATCCTCAGTATATGTCTAAGAGGAATCCCAATTCACCATGGAGGTTTGTAGTAGTATAGGGGCCTAAATAATTACCTATACTGTTTTTGGGCGTGCCATATTATATAAGTATAGTATACTGGCCCTACAACCCTAATTGTTAAGTCCCCTACAATATGGTCTGGGATGCAAGTTCGGAAGCTGATATGCACAGCAGGTATATAAGGGTTTTAGTGTACCCTGTAATATCAATGGGGCTTGGTTGTGGGTTTAGGGTTTAGGGTTCTGCGAGCCACGGGAGTGGTGCTTCAAACCCTACTGATAGCTCAACAGCAGCCTTCAAAACACGGTTAGGGTTTAGGGTTTAGGGTTTAGGGTTTGGGGTTCAAAAAGGTAGTAGGATTCACGAATTGTGGTATTGATACTCTCGGGACTGTAGCGTTCTAACTCTAGCGTGGGGTTCGGCCGCTCGTGCTTCAAGAGGGTGTAGCAGCAAGAACTCGCTTGAATTCACGTCCCCTCCTGGAACCTTTGCAGCTGGTGTTGCGTGTCCGCAAAAGTTTGCAGTATATGGGTAGTTCGCTGGATTAGGGCCCCTTTTTAGGTCCCCAATAGAGTACGGCATCCTGGTACAAACGACCCTCAAAAGGACCCTGAATGTAGAGAACCACGCAAAGGGGTAGTTCTCTAAATTATCGTCCCTTTTTAGGTCCCCAATATAAATACGGCACCCTTATAAGAAAGACCCTAAAAGGGACCCCGAATGTGATCCGGGGCTGCAGCCGGTACCGCCGGTGTCCTCGATGGTATTTTCGGGAGGGAGACGGAAGCACGAAGAGCAATGCCGCCTACTAAAAGGATCATGGGACTTAGTAATTAGGGTTATAATTTAGGTAACTATACTTATATTTACTTATAACCCCACTTAAGGGACTTATAACCTTACTTACTAAGTCCCTGATCCTCCAAGTACTGCTGCAAACATTACGAAGCCATGCCCACGAGTTCTTACTGATCGGTTTAGGGTTTAGGGTTTTGGGTTTAGGGTTTAGGGTTTTGGGTTTAGGGTTTAAGGTTTAGGGTTTTGGGATTAGGGTTGCTGACCCCTGCTACAAGCAGCACCGTCGAGTGCGCTCATAATCGTGGTTTGCTGTATGGCACCTGCTCGTCGAACCAGATATCGCCTACAAGGCATGAAGGACTTAGAAACACGAGCTGAAATCAGCTTCGCATCACATCGCAGGACACCGGAATATACATACATATATATATATATACATACATACATACTTATACATACATATATATATATATTATAGATATGTGGCACCACCCACGAACCAACATACATACACACAGAACAAAGACGAAAAGACCGGATGAAGCCGGCTGTCCCGAAGTCCCAGTGTAAACCAGATGGGTCGTTGTCTAAATTAAGGTCTCTTTTAGGCTTTTTTTTTAAAGGTGCCACACTATTTTGGGGAAACAAGGGACCCTAATTTAGCGAACATGAGGGCTTAAGAGTTATGATGTACTGAGGGCTCCTCACAGGGACCTTCCATGATTCAGAGCCCTAGGCCCTGAAGCTTTGAAGTAACGAACCATACAAACCCGAAGCCCTAAACTCTACACCCGAAAGTCTATAAACCATCATAAACTCTGAACCCTAAACTTTAAGCCCTCTAACCATAAGTTCTACATCCTAAACCCTCAAACCTAGAAAGCATCAACCTTAAACCCGAAACCCTAAGGCCGCAGAAACCAACAAAAACAATGGAGCCCCCTGAGAGGACAGACGGTTGAGGGTTTAGGGTTCAGGGTTCAGGGTTCAGGGTTCAGGGTTTAGGGTTTAGGGTTTAGGGTTCAGGGTTCAGGGTTTAGGGTTTAGGGTTTCGGATTTCGGGTTCAGGGTTTAGTGTTTAAGTTTAGGGATCCGCGTTTAGGCTTAAGGGTTAAGGGTGTAGGGCGTTAGACAGCTCAAGGAAAGGACGTATGTGAAGAGTACAGTACAGGGGGCCACAGTAGATATGTGCAGCCCGCAATGTCCTGATTCTGCTTTGTACATATTTTGGCTTCTGTAGGAAAACTACAAACACGTTTCACTCTATGTATGTGTATATACATATACATATGTACAGCTGTATATCTAGATGTATGTATGTGTATATATATATATATATATATGTATGTATGTATATTTGTATACACATGTATGTACATGTACACATGCATAAACCGATAAGCCAAACTTGGGACAAACATACAACAACAAGCCTAAACCCCAAACCCTAAACCCTAAACCCTAAACCGACATCAGGTCCTGCAAGGCCGCGGGTTCTTCAGTCAAGTAGTTCTTTCGGCCCGCCATCACCTCAAAAGCAGCCCGGAGTTTAGGGGTTTAGGGTTTAGGGTTTTAGGGGTTTAGGGCTTTAGGGGTTTAGGGTTTAGGCTTTAGGGTGTAGGGTGTAAGGTTTTAGGATTTAGGATTTAGAGATTAGGGTTTAAGTTTAGGGTTAAGCCATGGTAGAAGTGAGCCGAAACCTTAAACTCCGTATCGGGGTCCAGGGATTCCGGATCGAAGTTGCAGGGGTTCATGGCCAAGTTGCTCCAGGTGTGAGGCGGGCTTGAACATTTGGGCTTGGGACGCTCCTATGCAGGTTTAGGCTTTTCAACGAATCTCGATTTTTTTGTTTTTGTTGTTGAGGGGGGGGTCGAAATCTTAGCTTTATGAATGGTGGTGTTTGAATTTGAAGCATCGTCCGCCCAGGCCTGCCGTAAGCCGTGGACTTTTGAACGAGCCCAAGATGGGTTTAGGGTTTAGGGTTTAGACTTTAGGGCTTAGGGTTTACTCATACACTAGAATGAACATATACATGCATGGCTCTGGTGGCGACCCTGCCGAAAGAGCCAGCACCTCTCGCACACACATCCCTTCGGCTAATATAGAAGCCTATATAATTACCCTATATTCTTCTTAGGGATCCTTTTTACAGCTATACTATAAAGGAGCCGCAAACCCGCAGGAGCCCCAATCCCTATTCTATTTATTAAGGCCCACATATTGGCTACGGTTTAGGGTTTAGGGTTTTAGGGTTTAGGGTTTAGGGTTTAGGGCACATATTGGCTACAGGCGCTAAGCTCAGCCCAGCCACGGAATGTTCTTGGAATAATCGCTCTAGGCTTGCGGCCTGGGGTGCAGCACATGGTGTGCACAATACCGTGTCCCAGGGTCCATACTGGGATTTTGGAAGTCTAGAAAAAGGTTTTGGGTTTAGGGACTAATATAGCGGCCTTAATAATTAGAATAGGGTTTTGGGGCCCATTCTACTATAATTTAAATAAGGAGCCCCCCAAAATAGTATAGGTAATTCTTATTAATGCCCCTATATGAGCCGTAGGCGCTAGACCCTAAACCCTAAACCTTAAACCCTAAATTAGCCCTAGACCCTAAACCCTAAACCAGTACAGACCCTCCCACACTGGAAGGACCGGGTCGCTAAGGCACGGGCCCGCTGGGTGAACGAAGACGGGCAGGCCTCATTTAGAGGTAGGGTTTAGGGTTTAGGGTTTAGGGTTTAGGGTTTAGGGTTTAGAAGAATTGGGGCTGAAGGTTTGGGGTATAAGAATTGGGACTTGGGGGTTCGGTGGTTGGGGAGAAGCTGATTGATTCCCTCCGTAAGCCAGAACCCATACCTGAAAACAAGATACAGATGTGAGGGGCTCTTTTACAGCAATTAAGTCCTCTCATCGGGTTTAGGCTTAAGGGTTTAGTTCTCCCCCCCCCCTTTTCCCTTAATGCGAGAACATCAGAAAATCTCGCTGTAGGTCGGGTTTCAGATTTTAGGCTTAGGAATGTTTCAGACGTATGCCAAATCCTCCTGAGGTAGATTGACAAGTTGTGCCGCAGAGTGAACAAGGGGATAATTCGCGAAACCACAGCTGTGATCATGATTCAGGTGCTTGGAACTGTACCTATAACATACAGCGGCCATATACCAATGAAGCTTTAAGCAGCTTCGATTATCAATGCGCTTGCCTGCTTAGGATGAATGCTGTCAAAATCAGCACCAAGACATCAACCTTATCCCACGTACACCCATGGTGCCAAAGTAGCAGCTGGCCCCCTATCTTCTGAAGTGAAATGCAGGCAGTCGGCTCATAAGCCACACCTTATGTTGTGATTGCGGGTTACACCCCTGACCCAAAATTCTAAACTGCCAAGTCCTGAACCATAGAACCCGTATAGCCCCCACGTAGTACCCCTTCTAGCAAGAAAGCTTATACAACCGTGAACAACCCATATACACTAAACCCTAAACCCCTTCAACCCCTAAATTATACAATCGTGAACAACCCATATACACTAAACCCTTAGCTCCTTAAACCCCTAAATCCCCAAACTCTGCACCCCCATAGCAACCCTTAATCTTATGGTATCCTTGAACTCCAAACCCCAAAATCCTTGTAGTAACCCTTATTGATGATAGGCAGCACCGCTCACAGGCAGACAAAGATCAAGCCATGGGCGCACACCTACAATTCCTTTTTTCCCACTCACACACAACCAGTTAGAGCTTCGGGCGGGGGTGTACAAAGGGCCTGAGCTCTCAGTTGCTTGGCTTCTGCCGAGAAGGGCACATGCATTAAGTCGAGTTCATCTTTACAGCTGGCTCAAGGGCATCTTCGTAGCCTTCCTGAGCCACAAAAAACATGCGACAAAGCTCAGCAGCAAATGGCTTACCTGAGCCCTGAATTCCCATTTCATCACTCCTCCTTGACTGCTCCGCTAGGATCTGTCATCCTCGAACGCTCTGGCCAGATTGCTGCAATTGGGTGTTGAAGATTCTCTCATATTCCCGAGCACGCTCTAGATCAGCACCGTAATTGGCATGCTTGTCCGGATCATCTCCCGCCCTGTTCAAACAGTATTGACACAGGCGCCTCCTCTCAACCTTATCTGCAGTCCCGCGGTGTCTGAACGCATGGCAATCTCCATACACATGAAAGCACTCATTCCCAGGAATATAGAATGTTTCCCCAGGCGGCTCATGCACATAGCGCAAGATCACCCTTGTCTCAGGAGGAGCAGCTGGGGTAAACACTCCAGCTTGACACCCGACATCCCCTTGCTCCTTCGTCCCGCTCGCCAGTCTCCTCAACAACTTCATCCTCTCTGTTGCCGGGTCCTCTGGCAGCGCTGGTTTAATCTCTTCGGTCGAGGACGATTGAGTTCCGCTCCGCGGCGGGGCTCCCTTTTGCACCAGTGGACTAACTGCAGCATCTCGCGCTCTTTGCTCCAGTCTTCCACCAGTTCGCACCTGGATCTCTCGTTGTATAGCCGCAGTCGTAGCCTCTCTCAGCTTTTGCAGCTTTTTCACACGCCTCGATGTCGAACCTGGCGTAGCTCTATCATATGCCAACCAGACCAACCACTTTAGCAGCTCCCAAGCCAGCAGAAAAACAATCACAGCTGCCCACATAAACGCCCATGTGATCACACCATAATTTACCTGTAACTCTGTCTTAACGACCATCGCCTCTCCTTCTTCCCAATTGTAGGACTCCCCCATAACAGCTTGAGACAGAATGAGTAGGCCTATTAAACCCTTAGGGACATGGTTAGGGGCGCGGGCTCTGCAGCTGCTGATATTGATGCTCCTGCTGTTTTCGGTGCTAACTGCTGCGGCTGCCGACTCGTCATAGTCCTCGTCCGAACCACGTAGATTTATCAGTCGACTCAATGTCCTTATTCGCTGCGAAGACAAAGCCTTGGTTAGAAGGTCTGCTGGCTGCACTTCTCCTACACAATGATGAACAGTCACTGCCTGCGATGCTATCAGCTCCGCCACCCACGCACTGCGAAGCCTCAGGTGTCGCGTCCTCCAGCTGCCGCTTCCGTTTGCTATAGCCAAAGCCGCTGTGGAATCCGAAAATAGCTGCAAAGGTAAACCGCCAGGCATCATATCACTCATCATCGCATTGGAGCTCTGTAGTGCTAATACTGCTTCGGAGATCGCCGTCAGCTCTGATTCTGCTGTACTTAAAGTTATTGTAGACTGCCTCCCTGATCGCCACGCAATAACACAATCATTCAGCATTATCAGCCATCCAGAATGGCTGCGGCCTCCTTCTGGTGCAAAGCTGGCATCGCAATATGCTACCAGACCAGACGAGTCTCCTTGATACACCAAACTGTGCCCTATCGTCCTTTGAAGAAATGCGATCGCCTTCTCTGCTATCTGAACAGCTCGACGCGGTGCTCTGGTCGAAAGCGACCCCACAAGTGATGCGACATAGCACAAGTCTGGTCGGGCGCGCTGCGAAACCCACAATAGTTCGCCCGCACACTGTTGAGCGGCCTTCAGCTCCCCATCCGTGTAAACACTTTCGTGGTCCTCGATGTTAAAATTGGCAAGGTCCTTGGAGATCGGGATGATATCCTTCCTGGTAGGAGGGACATTGTGCAGTCGAACCAGCTCCTCTATATACGACCGTTGAGAAAGAGCATATCCTTGGGTACATTTAGAAATCTCTATGCCCAAGAACCTTATCGTTCCGTCAGATACCAACTGCAACTCGCTAGTCTTCCATGTGTCTCGGATCACCTTCGCGAGCTCCCGGATCATCTCTGACTTCCCACAAATAAGGATATCGTCCACATACACAACCAAAACCCCGATCAACACCGAGCCTTCTTGTAACACTGACCACCACGATGGCTCAACACGGCCCTGCATTAACGTAACCCGCTTGCCCTCAAACACCAACTGTATGCGAGCCAGACGGATATCTCGATATGAACCCCAGAGCTTCGGAGATTCTTGTAGTCCATATACCGCATGGGTAAGACGCCATAATTCACCTGGTCGGCAAAGTCCAATCTTTACCAGCAGCTTGGGAGGAATTCCGTACACGAGCGGTGCGTCTTGTAGCTCCTTCAGTGGTGTTTGGAGAAAGGCTGCTACGACGTCGATCATGCCGAAGTCCCAGTTGAAGAACCGCGCGAGTGCTATTGCGGCACGCACGACTTCCGCGGGTGTGGTATTCGTGTAAACTTCACCAGGTTGATGCGACGCCATATTGCCACACACCACTATTCTTGCCTTTCGCTTGTATAGCTCTAGTGGTTGCTCTCCTTCTGCAGGTACATCGGGCGGTTTTACTGTAAAGACCACTTTCATGGGTATCATCTGTCCACGACCAGTAGCAAGGTCCTGCTGAACGTCCTCTTCATCGCTCATCACCTTGTCAACCGCGTGCTCCAGTGATGCAATTTCTTTGCGGAGCGCTGGCACCCAGCGATCGACACAGCCCGATACCTCTCGAGGGTTCACTGTGTGCACTATGTTAAGAGGCGCTTCCAGCGACTCTAGCAGCTGCTCCACATTGTCCGAATACACCACCTCCGCCTTTCGCAACCACGGCTCCGCAAGCACATCAGCATCCAAAAGAACCGTCCCCGTGGCTCCAGGTTGAAGGACCAGAAACATTTCCCAGTCCGTCCAGTCCTCCTGCCTCACGGAACTTTGTGGCGGCGTCTGCATTGCATTGCTGGTTGTATACGGCTTGTCAGTCTGAAAACTCTGTATTGCTGTCCTGTTCCCCGACATCACGCAAGGTTGGACCTCCGCGACCTCTTCGGCCTGGCCATCCTCCTCAATCTGTTTCGCTCCTGCCAGCTGAACTCACAACATGTTGAGGTTCGCCACCGGGGCCGTCTCGTCGTCGAATATTGGCATTGGAAATCCCATAGTCCACAACCTCGCCCTATCATCCGAGGATAAATTTCGCAGCATTCCAGGGGTGTAGCCCACCACCACCAGACGATCTCCATGCCATGGAAGCACTGCATGTCGTCGGTGGGGGTTCAGATTAAATACCTGACCCACAGACAACGGAAAGACACACCCATATCTGGTTTTCCCATCTGGACTCTGCATTTCTGTAACTCGACCTGTAACAACATCACCATTACGAAGCTCCTGCCAAATTTCTCCTCCTCTCCTGGGCATTGTAATCGGCAAGAGATAGTTCAGGGTGCCCATGGCATTGTTACGGTCTATATGTACTTCTCGCTCATTGTTCACGGACACAAAGATCGCCGCGAACTCAGCATCCGGGGCCTTGTCCACGAGGAGTCTCAGGAGAACTTTTGCTAGCCAGGGTCGATCTATTGTAGCTCGCGTAATCCCAGTCCGTCCCCCATGTCTGAACATGCATGCCGTACACGTTCTCCGAAGAAGGAAGCTGCTTGCATATATCACGTACCAGCTCTTCTGCCTCCTCCTGAGACCATGTCTGTAGCACACTCTCTGCTTTAGACCTGTAGACCCCCTCGTCCAGAACTATAGCTTTGGAAATGCCCACCACATCTCCAGATCCCGCGGATTTTCCCCTCAGCCTCCTAGCCGGTCCAGGTGGTTCTTCTGCTTCCCGGTCATCTTCAACTGGTCCTGGCTCATGAAGTGCTGCTCTCACGTGTAGCGTATGTATGAATCTCTCTCCTTCGTCGTCCTTGACATACACTAAGTGGCCCTTTCTCAAACTTTCTGATTGTCCCACATAAACACCCTTCATCCACTTTGGCGATAAATCATCCATCTTTGGACCCTCCATTTGTCGCTTCCTCACCATCACCTTTGCCCCAAATGGCGCCGCTAGCACTGGCTCAAACCCCAGAACATCTGCTCTCTGCATTGTTGCTGCCGTACTCGCCGCCATGGGCCAGAGCTGCTGAGGAAGACCTGCCGACAATAGTAATGTCCTAGCCCGTTGCTTGATCCAGCGTACTGTTGATTCCGCAGCTCCATTTGTCTGATGAACACCAGCTTCTGAAGTTGTAGTGCGGATTCCTTGTCCCTTTAACCATTGCTTTGACGCCCTGGCCTGGAACTCCATACCCCTATCCGAGTG